AGCCACACTAACTAAACTAACAAGCTCTCACAACTAGCTACACTAAAGAGCTTGACAACTAGTTTGCAATAATGTAAAGAGATTGAGTAAGATGGTTATACCACCGTGTCGAGGAAGAATCCAATCAATCACAAGAATGAATAACAATGAATACCAATCACCTCGGACTCAAATGATGAACACAATGATTTTTATTGAGGTTCACTTGCTTGTCGACAAGCTACTCCTTGTTGTGGCGATTCACTCACTTGGAGGCTCACGCGCTAATTGGCATCACACGCCAAACCCTCAATAGGGTGTCGCACAACCAACACAAGATGAGGATCACACAAGCCTCGAGCAATCCACTAGAGTACCTTTTGGCTCTCCACCGGGGAAAGGTCAAGAACCCGTCACAATCACCACGATCGGAGCCAGAGACAATCACCAACCTCCGCTCGACGATCCTCGCTGCTCCAAGCCGTCTAGGTGGCGACAACCACCAAGAGTAATAAGCGAATCCCGTAGCGAAACACGAACACCAAGTGTCTCTAGATGCAAACACTCAAGCAATGCACTTGGATTCACTCCCAATCTCACAAAGATGTTGAATCTATGATGGAGATAAGTGGAAGGACTTTGGCTAAGCTCATAAAGTTGCTATGTCAATACAAATGGCCAAGAGAGTGAGCTTGAGCCGGTCATGGGGCTTAAAAAGAAGCCCCCATGAAATAGAGCCGTTGTACCCCTTCACTGGGCACAACGCAGGGTGACCATGTGTATGTGTGTTAGCTTTTCACAATCATTTCCCAAAGGATGTTAGCCACTCAACTTGCCACGCCACTCGATCCTAGCGATGATGCAAAGTTAGATCACTCGAGTGGCACTAGATGACCGATATGCAAACAAGTTTGCCCCTCTTGATAGTACGGCCATCTATCCTAAACCCGGTCATATACTTCTCTACACACCTATGACCGGTGAAATGAAATGCCCTAGGTTATACCTTTGCCTTGCGCATTCCATTCCATCTCCTCCAATGTCGATGCAACACATGCACCAACATGATCAACAATGATATGATCCACTTCATATCATCACGTGATCATATTGGTTCATCGATCTTGACTTCACTTGCTCTTCACCGTTGCCATCGTCCATCGGCGCCAAGTCTTGCTTAAGCTTCACCGCCACGTGGTCCATCACTCCAAAGCCTCCGACTTGCCCTTCACGCTTGCAACCGGTCCATCAAGCCAAGTCTTGTCTTGATCTTCTCCACCTTGATCACATGACTCAATGTCATGTCTCATTTGCAATAAGCTCCTTCATCGTCACATGTGTGAGCTTTGCAACATCTCCAAGCCATTGTCACCTTCATGGCATATGTTGCTCACACACATGTACCTGTGGACTAATCACCTATGTATCTCACATAAACACAATTAGTCCACCTAGGCTGTCACTCAATTACTAAAACCAAACAAGGACCTTTCATCTACACACTCAATTGAGATCATCTTCCTTAGGATGTTGGGAGGGAAACCTAGGTGAAGTACACCCTCCACTGCGATGCCATCATCTCTATGGCAATGTAGCTCCTCCCGAGCCCTTGCAACCAACTCACTAAATGAAGGCTTTTCATTGAATAACACATGCACACTTTGCATCTCAACAAACTCAATATATCCATAGCAATCTCTTTCCACGGTGCCTCCATGATACATACTCACTAGGTTGTCCATCTAGCAGTTCAAACAAAAATTAAAATACAGTTCATTTTGTCCAAAGTAGCTGCTATATAGTACCTCTCTAATACATACTAATCAACTATAATCTAAGTAAATAGGTTAATAACTAAGTATATAGATATAATCTAGTAACTAAGTAGCTAAATCATACCTAAATGACTAAATATACAACTAGCTATCTAACGGTATCTATGTACCTATGTATCTATGTATGTATCTATCTACATACCTATCTCAATAAGTAAATCAACTACCTACGTCATCACATTTACTAGTAAGTACCAAATAATCAAACTAGAGCTATAATTCAAGCTAACTAAGTACCTACATTGTATATTCACAAATTTTACCTATCCGACGAATGCAACAAACACAGCAGGCGACGTTGGAGCCAAAAAGCACTAGCCGAACTTGCCGGCCATGGCGGGTGCTGCGGCCTTGCAGCAGGACACCAGCCCCTCCCCTCGTCCCTTTCCAAGGGCCACTGCCCTCGGCACTTCGAGGGCCAGCGGCAGCAATGGAACATCCGGCGGTAGGGATCGAGCGGCTGGCGGGGAGGGGCCGGCTCGCGGATGGGGAGCAAGCGGACGGGGTCGCCGGCGACGTGAGCAGCCTGTCGGGGTCGCCGGAGGACGGGGACGGGCGGGCCGTGGGCCGCAGCGGCGAGCGGCGGACGCGGCGGGGCGCGTCGGGGGGCGACGCGCAGGGAGGACGGCGACAAGCGGGCTGCGGGGCGCGGCGGCAAGCGGCGCATGAGGCGGGCGCGGTGGGGCTGCCTGTGGGCGGCGGGGCGGCCTGGGAGACGGGGAGGGCCAGGGCGCGGTGGATGGGCACCGGCGGCGGGCGGCTCAGGACTCAGACGAGTGAGAGCAAACGGAAGAGGAAGAGGAAGAAAGAGAAAGGAAAGAGAACCCACATGTACAACAGGCACGGCGCCAAAGATATTGGCGCCGAGCACGACGCAAAGACCTACGACGCCATGCTAGGCGCCAAGATCTACGGTGCCAAGCAGGTTGCCACGTCTGCGTCGACGACGACGTGGCCGAGAAAGCTAGGCGCCAAACCCTTTGACGCCGAGACGTGTAAGCTCGGTGCCACCAACGATGACGCCGAGCTAAGGGTTTAGATTTTGAAAGCATACCTCTAGGGGCATATTTGTGAAAAACTTAAAAAAAAGGGCCAAAAAATAAAAAATTCGGTGGCGTGAAGGGGAAGAGACGCGCCAAAACACCGCGCCAAGACGGAAACAGCGCGAGATGCTACGATATGCTCGAGGTCTTCGGCACCTAAAGTTACATGGACTGGGGCAGTTTTTCCTAAGTCCTAAAAGATTAGGATGATAGATTAGAAGTTATTGGAGAGGTGATTTTTCTCGTGTTTCTAAAACAAAAAAATAGAAGAAGATTTAGGGAACTCTTGGTGATGCTCTTATCATTGAAAAAAAACGTGAGATAGCAAATAGGCCACTTGTGCTTTGAATTTATTACAATTTACAAGTTTTGTGGTGACAGACATAAATACGGTACCATACAGGCATAAACGAAAACATATTTTAGAATGTCCCACTCATGATTATATTCGTTGGTCCAAAGTAATCGTTGTAGTATATAAAAATAATAAAAAAATCCTCTATGTGATGTTGGCTACACGCATATAAAATTTGATTTTTTTTTTCTTTTGAAAATCTATAATAACAAAAATGTACATACGATGCCTCTGTCTTGTCTTATCATAAAAATGAGTTTCAATACTTCAATTCATATAGACGGAAACTTATGTAAAGGTCGAAGAGTTTGTCTACAGCTCACCATTTGGTCACTGGAATTCTTAATCATATCTCGTTATATGTTCCTCCTCCAATCATCTTTCTCATTCTCACCTTATCTAGGCTATGATGCCCCCAATGCCTGACCAAGGTTAATACCTTGAATTCGGGTTTGCTGCTTACCACTAAGTTACAACTCTCATTTGACGTCCCACCTTTAGATTGCCCATCTTTTTTCTATCACACCGCCTTATCCGTTAGGTATCCTCATGATAAACCAAACATATTTTCGTTCTTTCTTTAAATGTTTTTCATTTATATAACCCAATATATTTTCGTTGGCTTTATTTTTTTTAAATCCTCAAAACCCGCACAAATCTATAACCATATTTTTGAGATCCCTAAATAAAATTATAGATTTAACTCGTAGGAGGAGGCTAATCTTTATGGGCTAGATCTCATTAAGTTTTAGAGACATGAGAAAAAAGCAATCAAGATGAGTGATGGAGAAGAAACACCTGAATAACTAAGAGTAGTGTTTGGCTAAACAAATTTACTCATGTTTAGTTGCTTAAAATATTGATTAGCCATTGGTCACCAACTTACTTTAAATTTAAATTTAGGATTTGGCGATTTGGTGCTTACGTGAGGTCATTGGCTTAAGAGAATCGCTAAGTGACAAGCATGATGACGACACATGTGCTATAGTTGAATGAGTAAGTGTTAGTGGGCGAAGGAGCTCCGAACCGTTAGAACTAAGTAGGAAGGTGGTGGTAGTAGCTAGCGCGGGAAAATGGAGCGGAGTTGTTAGGGCACAAGGAGGGGTTGTAGTGGGAGAGTGCTTGGACAGAGGGTGAGAAAAGATAGCATCACGACTCTTATTGCACACGCATTTGCCGATAAGATCAGCAGTGAATGTAGTCCATCATCAGCCATGCAAGGAAACTAATTGAAAGGATGAACTAACTAGAGGAATTTATAGTTATTCATACAAGAAAAGAGAGAGATTAAAGAAAACCGACAAGCAACAAAAGAAGAGATATTCATGAGAAAAAAGAAAAAGTTAAATTAGCTATGCAAGGAAACTAATCCGTCAGAAGAGTTCAAATAGAAACCGTAGGATGAGAATGCGAAACGGCGCACGAAGAGTGCTGAATAAAGATTGTTAGGTAGCAGACATGCTACGGTGAAACAAAATATAACCCTATATGTAGAGGAAAAAGATTAATGAAGAATAAAATAAAACAAAGAGACGAGAGAGATGAGGCACGCGGATTACAAAGAGAATCTCAGCAACTGAAAAGGAGATTTTCGTTTTTAATAAAAACTAAGAAAACAATATATACAACCCTCCTATTTGATTGCCATTAGGGATTGCTTTATTATCGGACATCACTGGTAGTCGCACCAATACACCACTACTATTCGAAATAGCGAGGATGAATTGAATTCCCCGAACAGAAGCCTCCCCCGCGGCCCCGCCCCACCCACCCGGCGGCGCCCCGGCAATGTCCGCGCAGAACGGCGGAATCATCATCGACTGGCGACAGGCGATGCCCCCCGATTCCCCGGCGGTGGAGTCGGAGGTCGTCGGCTCATCCTCTCCGTCCGTTACGCCATGTCCCGCGGCGGCGGCGCATGCCGACGCCGACGCCGACAGCGACCATGGCGGAGGCACGGCGGAATTCTTGCACATGAATGATCAACAATTACAGGTCCGTATTAGCCGCTGCGAAGGGATGGCGAAGCAGGGTATACTCCAGAGGACGCCGGATGGTGGCGAGAAGATGCAGGCACGCGTCCTCCGGATGAAGAAGGAGCTGGAACGACGGAGGGCCAGACAGTGGAAGGTGAGGAAAATGTGGGCTTTGCGTAGTAGTTTCGGGTTCGCTTCAGTGTTTTCCCCCCCTTTCTGGTTTTGGGTTCGGTTGATATCAGGCTTACGGACAGTTGGGTTAGTGATTGGGCTGCATGAATCATCTGTTAGGGTGTCTCAAGGATTTCACAAATGTTGGGGTTTAGTGTAAGGTTTTGGATAAATATTGTGATTTTTCGTTGCTTTCAGCGAGCAATTGAAATTACATCTGTAATTGGAATCATCCTACGAGAAACGACGTGTCTTTTTCATTGATAAGAAATAGCCATCCAAATTGGAGTTGGAGAGTTCAACCTGAATACACATTTTACTCAGCAAATGGGCTAGGTTCAGTTCCTCAGTGGATAAATTGAGATGTTTGCTTGTATCTGATAAACGAAAGTATAATAAAATTTGGCTTATGTCATTGAGAGATTGAAAGATCCAAATGATAATATCATGGATTAGCAATAAAAGATTAAGTGGATATATAAGCATCTTTCCCGTGATGATGTTTGTTTGGGCTTGAAAGGAGAGCTTTTGTTTTTATGATCAGAATGGCTAACATGAGTAAATAAAAAAGAGTACCTTGAGATCACATATTGCTGTTTTCTGGGCTTGCATCAAGTACATTTGTATTTTTAGCTTGTTTCATTTCCTCCCATGTAGCAACGTTACGTTTCCTTTTAATTATGTTAGGATGACATGGTTTTGAGACAGGCAGTGCAAGCTAAGTGTACTGGTGGCAGCAGGGGCGAAATCTTCGACTTCAGTAAGATTTATGCATTTATTTGTTCGTTATGGTCCGTTTCTTCTTTAGGCCCTGTTGGTTATTTTCTGTTTCCTTTTTAGGCCTTATTGGTTATGTTCCTTGTTTGCAATTGCTTGTCATTAGTAAGATCGCGAAAGAGCCTCTAGCGGAGTTGGCTAGGTGGCTTCAGTAGCACTCCTCATGTCCTGAGTTCGACTCCCCGTGGGAGTGAATTTCAGGCGGGCTGCTGAGGTTAAAAAATTCCGCTCGTCTGTCCCATGTCAAAGCACAAGTCTAAGGCCGGCCCAGTCTCACATGGGCAACGACGCCGCTGTTTTTTTTTCTCGAACTACGCAGGAGACCTGCGTGTCATTTCATTAAGGTAGATAAAAACTAGTACACAAGTCTGGCAAGAACCTTACCGAGTAACCCCAACACCCCCCCCTCCACACACACACACACACACACACAGAGACAGAACTAGGTTACAGCCGCGACAAGTACTAAAAAACAGACGACCAGAACCTCTATGGAGCTTAAACTCCAGAGGTCAGTGATGTGGCCAGGAGATCACGGAGCTTAGAGGCACCTGCCATACACCACAAACCACATTCCGTGTTAACAGCCCTAAATACCTCCTGCACATTTGGCCTCAGCTTCTCAAATACACATGCATTACGGTGTTTCCAGATCTCCTAAGCCACCGGGGTTATCAGGGAATTGAGACCCTTCCGCAAGTCTTTTGGTACAGCTGAACTTGCTTTCTTCCACAAACCAGAGGAACGGGACTCTGCGCCTCCTGGTGCCAAGTTAAATAGGCCTAGGTGCTGAAGAATCATGACCCAGACTTGACGAGTGAAAACACATCCAACCAGCAAATGGTGAATCAACTCCTCAGCCTGATCACAGAAAGGACAAGCCTCCGGATGGGGTAGGCCGCGCTTTGCTAGGCGATCAGCCGTCCTGCACCGGTTGTGAAACACCAGCCATAAAAGCTTTCATCGTGGGGGTGCCCAGCTTTTCCAACTCCTTCTCCAGGAACCAAACTTAATGGTTCCAAATAAGAATGCAGCATAGTCCGATTTACTGCTATATAAACCAGACTGTGTAAACTTCCATCTAAGTTGATCTGGCACGTCCTGCTGCAATGTCAATCCATCCACTAAATCCCAGATCTGTAGCTATTCAAGAACCTTCACAGTAAGGGCCCCTTTGATATCCGCCACCCATTTTCGATTCAGGAGTGCTTGAGCCACCGTCCTCCTCTTAGCAGTTTGCTTATGGACTGATTTCACTAAATTAGGGGCTATCTCAGCTATGGTGCGCCCATCCAACCAACGATCTTTCCAAAACAGAATTTTCTCGCCATTTCCCACAATGGCATCTACTGCAACATTAAACAGAGGTTGGGCATTTTGAGGGATTTGAATTGGGAGTCCTGCCCAAGGCCTAGAGGGGTCTGTTTTATTGGCCCACAGCCATCTGATCCTTAAAGCCCAGCCAAGGAGTTCGAGGTTATGGATCCCAAGGCTGCTGTGTATGGGTGAGGCAGGGGATTCAGGGGTTTTCTCGACCTGCGTGAGAAGGTTATCTTCTATATTAAGTATAATGCCCAGGGGGCTGTCTTAGCACCCCCCCCCTGGCAGGTCGAGTTTTTTTGGTTATTAGTAAGGTCAGATGGACAAACAGTTTCTGTCATTGGTTTATGTGGTCTCAAATGCTTTAGTGTTGTTAGGATGACAGGAGCATCCAACATTGTTTATCTCTACTGCAATCATGATTAAGGTAGAAGGAGGCATACAAGTCCGTTATTATCAACAGGTCACTGTACTTCCATTTTCTATGTGATTTTGGCTTTTGCTTTGATTTTAACAGTCTTAGATCCTGACATCTGAAAGGTAGAAACTAAATGCATTACATATGTTCCTTTTTAGTCCCTATAAAATAACCATGCAGAAATGTATCCTAGTCCTATTTGATGCACAGTGTTCTAGTGTGATCATTTGGCACCTGCTGATGGGGTAGCTAACTGAACATTGGGTGTCATTCCAGGCTAAGTGAGGCACCTCTCAGATAAGCCCAACCCTCAAACTTATAAGTGACTTCACCCTAAAGGATAGCAAAATAGACGTCAGACTTAGTAGAAATGATCATCTCATTATATCCTACTGGAACAGCACTGTAGATTACCAACTGGAATGTGCATGAGATTTATAGCTTCCTACACTTCATTTCAGGGGATGGAATGCCGTGTTTGTGTCTTTGTAAAAAGTCAACAACCTACCTGCTGCCGGCTGGATCACTGTGACTTCATAAACTTTTAGATCTCCTTTGTCATGACAGATCATAAGTTCAATAGAACTGTACAAACTTATACATCTGCCTGCAGCATGTTACTAAGAATCTATGTTGAGTATTTCATCTGATCTGTAAGGATTACTACTTATTTGTTAGGTCTTATGGTGTTGTCAAATGAATGCATTCTAGCCTTGGCTACTCCGTCATCTTCCTTTTTGTTGCCTCCTGCCTTAAGGAAGTTTGTTCTTGTGCAATCAGTCACACTGGTGGCCGTTTTGCAGAGTCTAATGATGAAACCATGGACAGTACGGCTAGCGAATACTATCTAAACTCAAGTTGTACTACATCTACAAAGACCTATACCCAGGTGTGCCTTTATGACTCTGCAGGTTTTTAATGATACGTTGATACGTTTTACAGATATTCTCCTTCCTTAAGATTTACCTTTCTACAGATTTTGTGACTACCTTTCCTGATTGTATGTAGGTTAAGGGATCTGCATATAAAGAACGAAGTTCTTTAAGCCATGCCAAATGTGCTTACCCAAAGAATGGTGGTCAAATATCAAAAGAGTCGTTGAGTCCTCAACTAAAAACTTGCGCTCATCTTCCAAAGAGCCGCACCATAAATGAACAGGAGAATAGCACTGTCGTTAAACGCCTCAATGCTACCTTTGGTAGTAACAGGAGGTAATGCCTTTTCCTTGATCCACTTGATTTTGTATTTCACATTTTGCAGTTTTATATCGAGAGCTATGTTCTTGTGTATCAATCTGTCTGTTTGCAAACTGTAGATGTTTTACTTTACACTTGATGTTTAATTGTATAGTATTTGCTTCACTGTTTTGTGCTCTTTTACATCTCTCCTTGAAATGTTTCTTTCCCTTTTTTTAATTCTGATTGTTCATGTTTCCCCATCTTAGTATATCTTATTTTTGAGGTCTGTTTCCCATCTATATAGTAGTAAGATCACTGAAATTGAATCACTGTATCCCCATCTTAGTATATCTTCTTTCATATTCAATAAACCGTCTGAGACCCTGAATAGAAACAAATTTTTGTTTGAATCTCAACTTTGGTTTGTTTCCATGTCTATTTTTTCTACTTTGATTTTGTAAATAAGGAGACCTTTTGTGTCAGTTTTCCAAAGGCTCCTGTGATCTCAGCTTTAATACTACCATTCATCTCATTCAATGTTTCAAATAGCAGGCTAAGACATTTAGCGGCGGACTCCTCCAAAACCTATAAAAAGCTATAGCGGGAGTTATTTCATTTAGCATTTTTTGTAAAAACATGAAAATTCTTAATTAATTATACACGGAAACATTTAACTAACGGAAATTTCATGAACACAAATACCAATATACATGTACAGGCTCTAGAAGAATATGTCTCCACGTCTATTTAACATTCACTAAATCCATCAACATACTCACGGGTCACGGCTACATTCAACATGAACATTCAATATTCAATAGTTCAGTTTTATTATAGTGCCTCTTGGCCAACACTTTGGATTAGCCTGATGGATTCATGACCCTACTACACCCTAAATTTTTCTGTCTCTTGTTGGGTTTCATCTCTAGTCTATGTCTATCTCGACTTGCTTGGGGCAGAAGCATGTTCTTTTTTTTTGTTTTCATTGTTATATGAATAATGAAGTTGCATCTTGATTTGCCATGTCATGGTGGAAGTGGCACCTTCATAAAACCAGTGTGCTTCTCTGACAAAAAGATTCTGATTTGCAGGTCGAACCTTGCCAAAAATAAGCCCTCGCCTTCTTTGAAGATTAAAAAGGTGGATAACCATACATTTTGTGGGTAGCTATACATTTTCCACTTACCATGTTTCTTAATATTTGTTCCTGGTGAATCAGTTGTATGAACAATATTTCCTACATTGCCTTAGAGAGCTAGCATTTAAGGTCCAATCCTTTTACTGCAAATGCACTTTTTTTGGTTATTTTCCATCCACTAGTATTGGTTTTCAACAAAAAATGCAATGATATAAAACCCCAGATTTACTTGAAATAAGAAAAAACAATCAGAACACGAAGAAAAGCATACATATTTGAATTGTAATGTTTAGTGCACCAATTCATGCACTCTTGTCTATTGGTTAATAATTGATGCTTCATTGATATTATAAAAAAAAAAATCTACTACTATTTGTGCAACTTCAGTTGTCTTGTCTGTTTCAGGATGTAGTTCTCTTGGATGACGATGATGATACAGAGCCTGCTAGATCAGCTGATGTTCAGATATCTAACAAGTGGTAACCCAGCAGACATCTCTACCTGTTTAAGATTTGTTTAAATAGTTATAATTTAAGATGACGAGCAATTATAGATAGTGTTCTATTGATGAAATTTCACTTGTGTAGGGATGAGTCAAAGATCCACTATCCTTCAAGGTTGGAATTGTTCTTTGTCATTGAGGTACATGTACATAGGGAGATTACCTCCATCCAATCTGATATCCTTATATTTGTCAACAGCACTGATCCAGAAGCGGTTGAACTGAGCTACTCTGACATGAAATGTCTTGAACCAGAAGAATATTTAAAATCACCTGTTATAAATTTTTGTCTTCAGTAAGTAATCTTTTCCACTTTCTGTACTCTCTCTTTTATCCACTTTCTTCTGGAGATTTCTTACAGCCTGTGGAATGCAAGAATTTAGATGCCACTTGATTGGGTCTAAGCATCATTTTAAAAGCAAAGTATATTCATTTTGTCACTCATCTTCTGTTGGGAATAATTGGTAGCCTCAAACTGTTTGATAAGTTGCTGAAGTTCAATAACTGAGATGCTATGTGGAAGATGTTTGTGACTTTATGACATATCACAAATTTACTAGAGCTGTCCCTCCTATGGTTTATAAACATCCAGTAATGTCTTCCATGTAGGTTTTAATAAATGATATCTATATACTCCATCCTGACTATGGCTATGTCAGGTACCTCAAGAAATCAAGACCTCCCAGGGATTTATACATGTTTAACACCTATTTTTACAGCAAACTTGAAGAAGCACTATCCACACCGGTATGGTTATTGTGTTTCAATGCTATCATGATTCTGTCCAAATTAAAGAAATACCATGAGCTTGATACTGTGCACTGTTTTGCATGAGTTGGCTTAATGTGGAAGTTCCACTGTACCTAACACTTATCACTTTCTTAATAAGTTGCAACTGTAGTCTAGCGTCACATTTTTAATGCGGCATGTCATCCAATTCAGGCTTAACCATAGTACCATTTTGTCCGTATTAATACATGTAAAGTAAAATGTTGGCTAGGCAGCATTCCCAGGTGTCTGATTTTGGACGCCTTGGGCTAGGATCATCTGCCTTTAAGTTCACGGAGTCGAGATAACTTTTCCTGTACTCATTTTCCTAGTCGAGTACAATGTTCCTAGCACACATTTCCTCCGAACTGTATATATACCTCAATAATCCTTAGTAACTTTGATGATGAATACACAAATTGCAAACATCGATAGCTTCAAATTCCTTTAATCTTGAGAGCAGGAAATCTACAGTTTACCAAAAAAACATTGTATGTCTTTTTCTTTGGAAAACAGAGCCTAATTTTTGCTCTTATATTTATTTCATTGTTGTCTAGTACCTTTTGCAAATTGGTCTAATCATTCCCTCAATAGGGTGACCATGACTCAAAATTCAGCAAGTTACGGAGATGGTGGAGAAGTGTAGATATTTTTAAGAAAGCATACATAATTTTGCCGATTAATGAATCGTAAGTTGCTTCTTCTCTGGATAATACTTCAATACTAAATGCTAAACATTTACTTATTGGCAAGAAAGGATTACCTTTCTAAATAGTCGATGGAGTCTGGTTGACAGTTAGGCAACAGTATTCTTGTATAACATGTCATGTATATAATGGATATCACATTATGATCATGCAAATTAGGATGCACTGGAGCTTGATCATTGTTTGCATGCCTACAAAAGAGGCAGATTCCGGGCCAATAATGCTTCACTTGGACTCTCTTGGTATTCACTCCAGTCAGAAGCTTTTTGACATTGTTAGGAGGTATGTAATGTAATCACCAGTGTAACAATGCTAAGAGTTTGGTTTTGAGCCCAGTCTCGCTGCAACTTTCATGAGTTCCGAATTCCGATACTATCACAGGTATATTCAAGCAGAATGGCGGCACCTACAGAAGGATTCTTCTTATGATATTCCATTTTCAGGGAGGATATGGAAGCATCTTTCAAGAAATATTAATGGGGAAAAAGTTGAGGTAAGAAGCCTGGAATTCTAACCATAGTTTTCTAAATACTTGTTAAAATGACTTTGCAGCAGCTCTTTTTTCCTTTTAGTTTTCTTCTTTGACGTATCTTTTTCTAACGCCACCTTCTATTTTCACATGCCAGGTGCCACGTCAGCGTAACGATTATGATTGTGGCCTCTTTATGGTTTACTATATTGACAGGTTTATTCAAGAGGCACCAGAGAGGTTGACAAAAGAGGGCCTTGGCATGGTATAAATCGCATTGCTCCATTATTTTTGTTCTCTTATAGTGCTGACTCCTAACTACTAACGCACAATCTCTGGTTCTTAGTTTGGACGCAGATGGTTCGACCATAAAAAAGCTTCAGCGCTTCGGGAAGGGATACGACAATTACTGTTTGATCAATTTGATAGTGCTTTAGACGACGATGGATCATCGGAGCCAGAGCTTCATCCAGGTGAAGACAAGGACATTCGGATGGCCTGAGCCTGCTGTTCCACAATTATGCTGCTTTGATTGGATATGTAACCTCGACAGAGGAAATGTCCCGTTGGTTACACACTTTCGTTTGCACCCTCGTTCACTCCAGGTGAAGTTTGGCGGTGGAGGAAATGTTCCGTTGGTTACACAGTTATGTTAACACACTCGTTCACTCCAAGTGAACTTTCGTGGTGGAAATGTACAGTTCAAGATTATGCGGAGGCATGCAAATGAAATCTTCCCAAATAGAATTTACATACTTATATATTGTTACATATGATATAAATATCTGGTAATCTGCGATCAAGCATTTCAGTTGACTGCTGCTTGTTAAGAGCACAAAGAAAATAAACTTAGTTTAGATAATTTAGAATGCATCACTTGAACCGCATTTTGTGCACGAACGCGTAAATATCATTCTCACGATGCTCCGGATAACAAATCTTTGATACTAGTCATGTTGATGTCATATTAGAATTCCATGGCACACCAGGAAAAGGAGATAACATGGAATACAAATAATTCAAGGGATGTATATCTAGAATTAAGACAATTGGACCATAAGATTTTGGTCGCAAATCTTAGTACAGATTCCAAAAGCAAAAGTCCAAGGGTGTACTCCGCAAGGCATGTAGAAGTGTTATTGGAATCCTCTAGTACAAAGGTGAAAAAAACAGGCTCTTGTGACAGATACACCATTCCTGTTATAGAGGTGTAGCAAATCCTGTGGAAACAAACAACAAACAATATAGATAAGAACAACAAAGCAGGCAAATGAGGTGAACAGAAACTTTGTGATAGATACAAAGAAAACAGATAAAGGGTAGCGCTTGCTGAAAATGGCAATCAGATGCACATACATAAAAATTCATAAATTACCAAGGCAATCAATATAACTTGCGTCTGTAAAGATAGGCTTATTTAGAAGTAGAATGGAATCATTTGGCGAGAAGAAAATAACTTCACTGAGTGATCCAGACACAAATAAGGAACTGTCTATAACAATTTGACACAAAGTGTTGTAGACACCTCAAATGCCCCTTGAGTACAATTCATAGATGTATTGTTGTTTTTCAAGATCTCAGAAACAATCTTAAGTAAAACTGAGAAAATGATCAGATGGGGCATGTGACAACACATGAACAGCAATTGTAAAAAAAAAAGGGTAAAGTCTTAAAGATGTTAACAAATGCTTGCCAATTGAAGAAAAATCAAGAAATATGTATTTGGCTAAAAAAAACTATTCTAATAAAAGACGTAGCAACAATCTGTACTTAGTCAAATGATGCTGGCAGGATGCTAAATTAGTAGACACCATAAACAGTAACTTGCGGTTAGTCAGACAAGTGCATCCTAACCATTGTGGCGATAATATTTGATAGGAAATGACAAACATACAGAGCACTAAGAGAAGAATGCAAAATAAAACAAAGTTCTTCGATCCCATCCACCAAAGATGCCACTACTAAAGAGGCAGAAAATCAAGGCCATTTTGATCCAATTTTTGACACTGGCACACATATAGCACTAACCAGTAGCCTACCTTAATACAATACTTCTAATTCAGGCATACAATCAAATTTGAACTTTTGAAGTGTCCTTGGTTTCTAGCCTACCCTCAATAACCATCCCAAATGGGCCTAAAGGAGTGTAATGTAGGCGAAGTACTTACATAGAAGAACTATGTTCAATATTAATAACAAACATCAAACTGAAGAGGAGACCGAATCAATCAGATTCTGATCTGATACAGTACAGTCAATTCATTCTATGTAATAGAGTAAGTCTCAATGGCATGCATCATTCACGGAATCACGGCACCGAAATGGAGCAAACGGATAAAATCACTTACCTTCGGAGAGCCAGCCCCAAGAGCCAGGCTTAAGCCCGAGCATGGAGGTGAGCAGCGCCGACGCGGTGGCGTTGTGCATCGGCATCAGTGAACCCTGCACACCACCGAGCGCCGCAACTGGCACCCTGCACCACCGAATCTGAGCCAAGGAGAAGAACAAAAAAAAATGCTCCGCTAGAGAATCAGAGGCTCCAGGCTACCTCGAGATCGCGAGGCGCCGGCGAGAGGCGCGCGGCAGGGACGCGGCCGCCTGGCGGGAGAGCGTTGCAGAGATAGTAGACCGGGAACCGGAGCGCAGCGCTGCGAGGGTTCGCCGCACGCCACCAGCCGCCGCCGCCATCGACGGGTTCCGTTGCCCTCTAAAACCCTTGCTGGGCTTTTTGCAGATTTGCGAGGACGCCGAGGGGCTCGGTGGACCAGGTCTATAACACAGGTCCCCAGGAGCTTTTTGGAAATGGACCATCGTGGCAAGTGGGCTTCGGTAATATGCTATCCCGCATTGGGCTTCTGCCACTATGGAGCGCGATCCAGGATGCCATCCGATGCCTTTGGATCCTTTTATTTCTCTTCTCCCCCTACCCCTTATCTTTTTCTTTGACCGAGCAGCCGCTGGGACGGAACGGAGGCACGCAAAACGGATCGAGCTTGGGCGCGCTCGTTCATCTCCGACGCCGAGCGAGCGGAAGGTCGCCCCCCCCCCCCACACCCCCCGGCCCACGGCCAGCTCCCCACGCCCGCCCGCCTCCCCACGCCACGGCCGCCCACTCCCCCACGCCCACTCGCTCCCCCACGCCCTCCCGCCGAGCGTCGCCTGCGTAGCCCGCTCGCCCGCCTTGGCGAGATAGCAGCGCCTCCACGCCGGCCATAGAGCACAGCACTGCAGCGACGTCCTCAAGGCCGGCCATGGAGAACAGCAAGTACTCAATACCGCGAAGCCGAAGGATTTCAAACAATGAACTGCCTCTTGTTCATTGCAAGGACTGTAAGTGCCGATTTCTCAAGGTCTTTATAGCGAAGACGGAGAAAAACTACGACCGCCGGTTCTAAGTTTGTCCAACTCGAACGGTGAGAACAGTTAGCCGCAAATTTCTGTGTGATGTATTTTGTGTGATTTTTGACTTGATTGGTTTCTGTTTATTTGGCGACAGAGGGATGGTGCTAGTTGTAGTGGGAAGAAGGATATGAGCAATACTTGTTGATAATAAATTGGTGCCTCCAGATTATCAACCTGTTTTCGAGTCTACTAAGTTGCCGCAGCAAGTCTCAATTGTCGAAAACAAGCTAAACTGTGGAGAATCAAGCCAGGAAGAACAAGTTAAGCAGCTTAGGGAGATAGTAATGCTGCTGGAATGTTTGCTTCTTGTTTGTGGACTTGTATTAGTTAGCTTTGTGTATGCAACTATCAAGAGTGGGTGAATCTTGTGTACTTGTTATCAAAATGTATCAGTTATGCCAATGACTCAATGAAAATGTCATGTTATGTTCTCAATGGACAAAAACTACTCTCTTCTGAAATGGCACAGGGTTCATAAGACCCATTAGTAGGCTGGCACAGGTTCAAATGACACAGGGTAAAAAGCATACATGTTCAGGTTCACAGACACATACAAGTCTAGCAGTTCTATTTTCAGCTTTACTGTCCCTCTCAACAGCAGCCTGAGCCTCAGCCTCACTAGGTCTATCATGCTGATCATCATCAGTTCTCAAACCTAGAAGACAGAACAACTGATCCTCATCAATTATATCTAGCACACCCTCACCCTCTTCATCAACTGTATCTGCAATCTGCAGTCTGTCACAATCAACACCTCCATAACATTCTATAGCCTGTGAACTGCCAAGGACATCACATGCTTCCTGTTCTGCAGGCTAATTATTGCTACCAACATTTCCAATTTCTTCTCCAATTTCTTCTACTGCAACTACACTAACGTCAGGCTCCTCATTGAGCCTGGAGAAATTGGAAAAAATTATAGTGTTAGAAACCTATTGGGCGAGGTCACTGTATTGGCTTCCCAAACTCAGTTAGAGGAATACAAACACTGAAATAAAGAGAAATCATACCGAATGAGGTCACTTCATCTACAGTCCATTGGGGAAGGTCACTGCATCGGCGCTTGAAGAAGAAACAGCAGCAGCCTGGAACAGGAGAGGGAGCGCTGGAAGGGGCGGCACCGTGGGGAGCTGACAGGGGGGTGCCTTGGGGGCCTGCTCGCCATGGGCGGCGCTCGTCGTGGGGGCTGCTCGCGTCGGAGTCGGACAGGAACACCGCGCCCCACTCGATCCGTTCTCCGACTACCTCCGTTCCGTCCCAGGCACGAGGCCTGTGAAAGAAAAGATAAGGGGCAGGGGCAGAAGAGGAATAAAAGGAGCCCAAAGGCATCGGATGGCATTCTAGCGAGTGGGTCGTGTTCCATAATGGCAAGCTGACGAAGCCCCATTGCGGCATGACATATCACCGAAGCTTACTTCCCATAATGGTCTATTTCCAAAAAGCTCGGTCCCCAAGGCCGTCTGCAGCTGCAGGTTGCAAAGCAACTGACAATGGGTTGGTATTAGAGTTGAAATCATCAAATGTGCTCAAAGTTGATTGTGTTTTTAGACGCATTTGGGCCTTAGTACCCCGGCAGCATAGTGGCAGTGTTCGGTTGGACTTACTTTTTTACTGTTCATGCTGCAATATTGTGGGAGAAAAGACTGCTCCGGCTGGAAACTGTAGCCAACCACCAGCCAGCCGATTCTGGCTCATTAAGGTGACATTCGAAACTTGAGATTTCCATGGAAATCCAAGCAAAATTCATGTGTTTGGTTGTGTTTCTATGGTAAGACTTGCTAGAAAAATAACCCAGACTCTTAAGCCTGTCCATGTCAATGCAATCTAGTGTTTGGTTATCATGTGCTAGCTAAACCTGTATTGGCTGGTTCTTGTTTGTTTGCCTGGATTACTTGTCCTATTACCTCTTCTTTGGCATGGTGATCTTACCTCCGCTACCTTCGTCGTCTCTGTTCGTCATCATCGCCATACCCCTATGACTGCAAGTACGAACACCAGATAACAAATCGGCTTGCATCTCCATGGTACAGACAAATGCAACAAGTTCCATTGATCTTTGGGTGCAGAGCAACATTATAAAATGCAAAAAAACTAGAACCA